TATGTATATATATATACATACATATATATGTATGTATATACAGATACATATACATACATATATATGTATGTATATACAGATACATATACATATATATATCTATAGAGATATACATACATATACATATATATAACTATAGAGATATACATACATATACATATATATATCTATAGATATGTATATGTAGATGTATATGTATATATGTATATGTATATGTATATGTTTACAAACATAGCACTTCATTTATGCCACCCAAATCTTCCATATTATATAAATTTTTTTTGTAATGAATTTGACAACCCTAAAGAATGGTACGGTATGTATGGAATTGCCCAATAAAGATAACAATAAGAGTCACCTGATATGAGTCTCCTGATATGGCATATATGTAAATTCCCATTAAAAATAATTATAAGAGTATCCACAAACTCCGAGCCAACAAGTTTCTTATAATATAAAGATCGCTCTCGACGACAGAGTAAATCCTTAATTCTGGCCCACAATCGTATTTAGTAAATTCGAATGTAGAGACGAAACATGATAAACAGAAACTGAACATGCAAAATTTTGATTTAACGGAACCCAATCCTACATAACAGTGCTATCAGATATGCCCCCAGTCACCCCCAATGTGCCTCATAATTCGAGTACCACCTTCCCTACTACGACACAATAAACAGAAATCGAACGTGCAAAATTTTGATTTAACGGAACCCAATCCTACATAACAGTGCTATCAGATATGCCCCCAGTCACCCCCAATGTGCCTCATAATTCGAGTACCACCTTCCCTACGAGGACATTCGTCAGAGGGGGATTCAAATCTCCGATCTCGGGGGACTTACATTGCAGATGTCAACCACCAAACCGGATCAAGCGGGCATTATATATATCATATAAAATTAGTCAGTTGACTTGAATTTAAATACATTGAAAACAATTATAGAAAATTGATATTGTATAATATGTTGTTGACTTAGATCAATTTCCATATGTTAATTGACATTTATCAGGAAAAATAATATTGACAGTAAATAAAATCATGCCTTTATTCATCAAAAATAGCTAAATTAATAATTTAATGACGTCAGTAATGACATATTCTACTATGTCAGAATGGAGAGGACAGATTCAGCAGATCAATATATTTATTTTAGAGAGATTTACATACATATATATCATATAATTTTGATGGCTAATTACATACAAATCTTTCAAAATACTAATATTTACAAATTAGTCATTTACCTGATTTTTTTGAAGTCCTGATATATTTACGCGTGCCATGATCAAATTATGAAAAATTTGATGAATTTAAAAAATAAGGATTGGAGATTTATCATGACTTTTGATATTTGAGTGAGAATTTGAAAAATAATTGAAAGAGAGTAGTTGATTTGTAGATAAGGCTGTCAAAAAAACTCGTTGTTCACGAATAACTCATGTTCGGCTCGTTCGTTAAGTAAATGAGCAGAACACGAACAAATTTTTAGAGCAAATTTTTAAAGCTCGAACTATAAACGGGCCGAACATGAACAGCTCTTTGTTCGCTCGTGTTCGGCTCGTTTTAGCTCGAAAAAAAAAAAATCAGATAACTATTTATATAACAATATATTACATATATTATTTATATAATAATATATTATATATATTTATATCTAAGTTTAAATCATAACATCTCATGTGACAATGTGTCTAGTGTCTTCTTTTGTATATATTTGATCCAGGTTCGAATCCCACACTCTACATCTATTTTTCTCAATTTAAGTTTAACGAGTTATTTCGAACGAGCCGAACACGAGCCGAGCCTGAGCTCGCTCAAGCTCTGCTAATTTACAGCTCTATTTGTAAATAGCAAGTTTCTGGTGGTCTGTATGTAATTTTCCTAATTTTTATGTATTATTTAACATCTTTGCCTTCATATTTATTTAAATTCTAACGCAAATCCTCCTATATTTTAATTATCTTGTGATTGACTTTGCAAGCCGATCAATAAATTTATGTTAAATAATTGACCTTTGTGAGAAATGAAGATAAATATAAACATATAAAATGCGTTTACTTGTTAAAATTGACTGCATAAACAAAAATTTAATGACGTAGAGTCAAATTTAAGTTATTTACAATTATAATAATGATAAATTAATGAAAATAATTTTTTTTGCACTCTAGACCTCGCCAAATCAATCGAAAACTTGCATGAAAAAATCATTGTGTACGTTCAGAATCAATCAAAATATTTTATCTATTAAAAATGTATGTCAGTGGGCCCCACCTTAATCTTTTTCATTTTTTAAATATTACTAGACAATACAAGTAAATTACGTGTGCTGTTCGCACAGAATAATCGCTCAGCCGTTGGAGAGTTTTCTTTCGTTTCGCGGGCTAACATTGCAAACAATAAATAAACAAATTACGTTAAACGGATTGGCATATTTCATATATTCGATTGTACGGTTCAAAGAATAAGATCAAACCAAATCTATTTTTTAATCATAGTGGCGTGCATGATTTTTACAGCTTTTATAATTATTGATGATAAATAGGGTGCATTTAGAAATTTCTATGACTATTTCTCATTGCATTAGATGATAATTATGACTTTAATTTGCAAAGATTTTAGAATGGGTCGAGATTTGCTACATAAATATTACATCATCACTTCAATCATGTCTGCTAAGTGTGCAGTCTCCCACCGTGTATTAAATTATTTAATTTTTTTTACTAAGAGGACCAGAACTGTACACATGACATGCAGTGATTGGAGTGCTGATTCATCTTTACATCATGACTCATGATATAATATTCTCTCCGCAATAAGGGCTAATCACATATTTTTTTAATAAATCTTTATTTTTTTTCCCTCAAAAGTCATCAATGTAATTTATTTAATTTTTTTAGTTTTATTTTTTTTAACATTTCAAAATTTACTAGTAACTATGTGTGATGCTAAATGGTTCGTATCTTCATTGTACCATGCATACTATAGACAATAGCCAATGTTTGCATATTCTAATTCGATTCTTCCATGGATAATAAAATATTTCCACTCCTCTTGAGGACTATATAAACATAATGGGGTGAGGAATTCAATATGGTCGCTCAGTTATGAAGATATAGTACATAAAAACATGTTAAAAATAGAACAGCTCAGGACAAAGTCTAAAAGAATAATTGCAAAACACCTTAAAGTGGAACACTACTTTTTGTAGACTTTCATGAATATTATTTATTAGAATACTTGTAGGCAAATATTTGAGTAATGCATCACAATGATGGCAAATTAGGTAAACATTTGCGACAACATTTATTTGAAAGATTTGATCATACTCAAATGAAAATAGAAAACTAAAGCACCAAAATCTAGAAAACATAGGGTTGGTAATGATACATGTAAGAGTTCCTCAGAATGGTCCTTGATTATACGACTACTCAAGGATGTGCAAGCTACATGCATAATGAAATGTTGTAGCTAGAAGTAGAAACACCCCCAATTGGATTATGCTAGATATTATAATGACTAATGAGCATATGATATATCTAAGAATTAAGTATAAGATCTGTAATCCCATAGGAAAAAAAGGGAAAATCTCATCTCATTTTCCATATAATACATATAATTGAGATATGATATAAGATATATAATAATCATATGAGAGTGATCTCCTTTATAGATCAAGAAATGTTGAATAATTCTTATAAACATCTTATAAAATAGAACGAAATGAAGATACTCTCCTATGATAAATGAAAAAAAAAAGTAGATATCGAAATGGAGTTTAACTCCAATCTTCTTAAAAGAGAAAAACTGTATTTCCCTTCTAGAAGACTCCCTGCTCTTCTTGCCACACCTCTCTTTGAATTAGTTACTACTCGTCCCTTTTTTGCTTCTCTAGTGAGTCTAACATCTACAATTTCTTGGATGAGTTTAAGATTGTTAATTATTTAGGAGATAAGATCTCGAAGATCTTAAGAGAAAGAAAATCCACCAAGTTGGAGATACTAGTTAATAATGAAGAAGAATATTTTAAGTGTTAGGCTTCTAGAAATTGACAATCCTCCTGACGTTCTTGCATGTTTGGCTGTGCATCTTAGCATGACAACTCTAATGGTGATTCAACATATCCATATGATCTTTTTATATTTAGATGATGAATGCTTTTGTCAACTCTCCAATGCAATTCTACTCTCCAAAGCTCCTGCTATTATACTGGACTATATCATCTTATTGAGCGTTATATTTATCTTATCGACCATTCCCCTTAAGGAACAAAAAACTTCCCTTACTCTTTTGACATAGTCATCGCCGAGTCTTAGGCAATGAAAATATGTGTGAGAGAAAGATTAAAAACCAAGGTGAATTAAGTAAAACTAAAAGATAAAGGAGGTCGCTACTCGCTCTTTCAAGAAATCTAAGGCCTCTCAGCATAATGCTGTCAAATGTGCTCTATAATCTAGTGAATATATTTTATAAATGACACATGATATAAAACCAAACAAATTATTTGAATATAATAAAGATGATTTTTGTAAGTCAAAATTTTCTCGATATCTGTATGCTTTTGACTAGAGACACATATTAATCAGATATTATTTGATTCCTCAGGTAATATTGTGAGATTTTAAACTACATTTTGAGTGCTTGATTCAAAAATATTTTGTGGTAAATTATGTATGGGCTTGTCCCACAGAAATGTTTATTTTTATTATAAGTTTACCAAAAATTAAAATTCCATTATTTATGAATTTATTTATTTTAATTCAAATATTATGTAGTAATTTATGTTTCAGATGAAATAATTATAAAATTCGATAGGTACTTTTTAAGATTTAAAAAGCCCTAAGTCATTTAGCGCCAAATAATTTCACCGTTACTGTACGACAGATGCCACGCTTCGCTCGTAACATGTCCATGCGGAGTCCTCTTAACTAACGTTTCCTTACCATTTTCCTCCACGTCACCACTGCTGAGTTCCATTGATCACAGCCAAGGAGCAACTTAAGATGGTACCGCGAGTCGTCGTACCGCCATTGCCATGGGATAAGGGTCTGGAATGCATCGCTTGTCTGTTCATCCCTAATTCTCTAGTAAAATCCCATCGAATTCTCCAGGAAGAAGCCTGATTTCGATTTCTTTAAGCGAATTCTCGAGGAAGAAGAGCGATTTGTATCTTGGATTTGTTGTATTCCGCGAGCTAGTTCATCTGACTTATAGATTCTACAGCGAGGAGCTAGAAGAGTAGGAGTGGAGGAAGAAGAAAGTCAGGGATTCACTAGATCTCTTCTTTGTTTGCCCTAATTTTGTCATCAGAGGTTGGATTTGTGATGGCATTAACTGCAGAATCGCAGTTCCATGTCCTGGCTGTGGATGACAGCCTCATTGATAGAAAACTCATTGAGAGGCTTCTCAAGATCTCGTCCTTCCTAGGTATTCTTCCCGAATGTGATGGAAATCGGTTAATTTATATTTTAATGGTTTATTTTTTATTTCTAGTGACCACAGTTGATTCTGGAAGCAAGGCTTTGAAGTATCTGGGTTTGGGAGAGGACGATGGAAGTGCAGCTCCCTCTTCTTCTGAACAGCTTGTGAGCATCTTCCCCTCTCCATCTCTTTGTCTTCAATTCTGGAGAATTTGTTTTATTTGTGTGCGGTTTGATAGGTTTTTTGGTTCTTAGGAGGCTGAGGTGAATATGGTGAGTTCAATTCTGGAGAATTTGTTCTGTTTTGGGTATTTGTGTGGGGTTTGATTGGTTTTTGGTTCTTAGGAGGCTGAGGTGAATATGGTGATTACAGACTACTGTATGCCTGAAATGACTGGTTATGATCTGCTGAAGAAAATTAAGGTGAGTTTCCACCAGATCTACCCTAAATCCTGCCAACCAAAATTTTGGGATTTCAAGTCTTAAGATTCAACCATCTAGAGGATTTGATGAATTTGAAAAATTTCTTGCACTCAAAAAGGTTAAATTCTAAAATAATTTTTTTTTAACATTTTATCAAGATTTAGCAATTGTTATGCCAAATAATTTTCAGATTTTAAGCCTTTCATGGTTTACTAAATCTATATTTACAATATTTACTTGATCTTTCTTGTGTTAAATCCTACTTATAATCACAGAACCCTCTAAAATTTGCAAAATTCTTTTTTGACAATATTAACTCAAAATCATGCTTAAATCCAGCTTGGATGACAAAGAGCCCATCTATACTCCAATCCATGTCAGCAATAGTATGGGTTGCTTTGATTTATATTTGGTTTTTAATTTTTGTGGAGTTGAATGGCTCAGGAATCATCATCTTTGAAGAACATACCAGTTGTCATAATGTCATCTGAGAATGTGCCTGCCAGGATTAACAGGTAAAGAATTAATTTTTAATTTTTATTTTTTTGCTTGAATGAATTCACCCTGAAAATTTTGAATTATAGGGTATCTGGTAGTTTAACCTTCATCATTTTAGTTGAAGACGTACAATTAAATTTTGCTGAATTGCATAAGTAATTTATAAAAAGAACATTTTCTTATGTAACGTTAATGATTTGGTGTTATGAAAGATGAAAGTTTTGGTATAAGATATGTAAATATATAAGAATTCAGTGGTTTTTATATAAAAGCCCTGCTGTTCTAAGAGATGCATATTAATTTCTCGGGGCACTTGCATGCATACCACCCAATTGCTATGTGTTTACATATCTAACACCTAAATTTTACTTTTAGCTTTTATGCCATCCAAATCTTCCATTTCATGTAAGAATACTACTATCTTAGCCTTTAAAACGTGAAATATACCTTTTGATGCATAGGAAAAGTGGTAAACATGTATAAGTGCTTGTTTGGGGGCGCTTATTCAGTGCAGCTGACTTTTGAAAATGCCGTCTACACGTTTGTTTAACAGCTGTAAATAAGTTGTTCTAAATAAGCTCTCACAAACAACTAACCAACTTATCAGAATAATCTGGAGATTATCAGATTGTTAGGATAATCTGCAAATAAACATATTATAAATAATCTACAGCCGCCCTGAACAGACCCTAAATTAAGATTTAGATGTTAGATAGTTAAATAAATAGTAATTGTGGTATATATATATATATATATATATATAT